ATACACCAACTTCCTCTGCCGCCAATCTTGCCGCTTTCCTCTCTTCCACCTCCTCCTCCTCCTCCTCTGCCTCCTCCTTTCTCGGCTTCTTCTACTCCTCCCCCCCCTCCTCCTTCACTGCCCTCACTTCAGCCGGTCTATCGGTTTGGCCTGAACACCCTTTCGGGCCAGCCAACCGTCTCCCAGTCGCCACCGGCGCTTCTGCAAACAACGGACTCCACGTCGCCACCAGACCTGCCGCCGATGGCGCCTTTTCTTTCCACCGGCCTATCGGCTCCGCTGCCTGACGACCGGACGAAAGAGCTGGAGGCATTTGAAAACTTTGGATCACCCAGCGCCTCTTCGGAGCATCAAATGTTGACCGGTTTCGATGCCATGCCCATCGGCGGAGGTGGCGGCGACTTTGGCGCGATGGCGCAACGTCGAACCAGTCGGAAACTGTTGCAATGTCCAGTGCCCGGCTGCGACGGAAGTGGACATGTCTCCGGCAACTATGCCACGCATCGCAGCCTCAGCGGTTGCCCGAAAGCCGACAAGGCCATGGTACAGGCCTTTCATGTGGAGCAAAAGTGAGCGATCCACCTTTGAAGGCGTGGCAGATTTGTGAAAGAAAGAGACAGAGAGAGTGTGTGTGTGTGTGTGTGTAGGGGGAGAGTGGAGGGGGGGAGGGAGAAGCAAGAAGTATAGCCCAGAGGGAAGGGGACAATGGGACAGGGATAAAAATACAAAAAATTAAATTCGATCAAAAGAAATCTTTGGTCAATTTCACGAGAATACAGGACCCTTCTGCCTGATGCAACCCTTTAAAGGTAGTCAAGTTTACGTTGAATGGTGGGAACGTAGATACAATCCACCTGATCACTATCAGTTAGAGTTCAAGTTAAAGCATCATTTTGCCAAACTCACAAAAATGGGAAAGTTGGCCCAATTGTTTGTACCAATTTGAACGCTTTCCGAGAGGCATAACAGTCTGAAAATAATTCGTCCCGTGAGGGGGTGATAAAGGTTGCCCGGGCAGAGGGAGAGAATAAGAAGAAGGTAACGACATGAAATTTACGTTTGTAAGAAGGGTTTTGAGACTACCAGTAAATCAGATATACAAGATGTGTTCATCTTATTTCGTTTAAGGCGATAAAGAAATGTTAGCTGAATTTTTTTCACAATGATATGAGTCGACCATATTTATGACTTAATGTTAGTCTCGAAACACTACTTAAAACGATAAGTAAGTAATGTAAGGTATGAAGACCAAGATGGTGGGGCTTTTGGTATGATCACAGTCTCCTTTCGATGTATAGAATTGGGCTGTCCTCGTTTTCGCAACTTGGTCAGAGTGTCAGGGGGACTCAGTTAAAAAAAAAGGTATTATAATTCCCAGCGTCGGACAGTGGATTTGTCTCATTCCCAGATGTTTCGCCGGTATCGTAGTCGATGTCGTCAAAGAGTTGTCTTTTTGACCAAAGGTAGTTGGAAGTGGTGCTGAGAATGGCAAACTCGCTGACGATGCCGGCGAAACGTCTGGGAATGTACCAAATCCACGGTTCGACGCCGGAAATGATGATAACTACTGGAGCAGAAGACTTCGGACAAGGTGCCTCCAAATAAGTAATGCAACGAATTTATTTAGCAAATATAACTTTCCTGGCCTTCCTGGAAATTAACTTCCGATTGCAGGACACTTGTGACAGTGTGGCTGAGTGGGTTTTTGTCTCGAGTTTATAAGCTGCATTGATATGGCTCGAATCCCGCTGGCGGGGTTGATGAGATCTGGGCGAGGTCGAAACTGCATACCATTCTGGATGAGAATACTTTTCAGGCAAGCAAGGCTATGTGAAAGCCGATGGAAACTTAAGGTCTACTCATATAATTGTGGGAAACTTCAACTACTAATCCTTCATCATAAAATGTGCACCCATACATGGATATAAAAGCTGACATGCCTACAATAAAAAGGTCAACACTAAATTAATGAATGTCGAAAGAGAAAATTGAAATGATGCACTGAAGTCGTGATTAAAGACTTAATGTGGACAAGTTTTAACATTGCGTAAAAAGCAATTTTACACAAATTTAAATGAAAAAAGAGCAAATTATCAAAAGCTCCTTGTCAAAAGGTGAGTTTATCGAATAAGAATTGTAGTAGTAAGAGTAGTAGCATCTAAAGCTTTTTGATTATAAGAAAATTTATTTCTAACCTGAATCCATTAGGTTACATAAAATAAAAACTTATTATGCCTTTAAAATCTGGGAAGAAAGGTGCCTCTGATGAAGTTTCTATAGGAAATTCAGACCATTGAGCATTCATCAAGTTTGACGTCGATTGATACTGTCAATAAATACAACATTCTATCTATTCATTGTCGATATGGCGTATCTGTGTTTTTGAGCCAGAAATGTGTGCATTTTAGTTAGTTTAAGTTGATGAAGTACTGGTAGTTCCCAAGAGGGTTTCTTATCCAGATTGGATTGAAGCTTCGTCAGCACCTCTGGCGGGATTCGGACCTGGATTGCGTTAGTGCAGCGTAGAGTCTCGACACGTTAACCACCACGCGACTAGTGCCATTAGTGCTCTTGGGTCACAGGACAAATGTGGATGTCATGAAAGGCCAGACCTTTCCCATGAGGAATGCGCTGCTTGTCTTCATTGTAAATAGGTTTTGAGATCACCCTACGTTTTACGTCCACTCTATGTATCTGCAATCAAAGATCGAGCCCAAGGCTCTCAACAAGAGAGAATAGATAGAATGTTACCTTGAAGTTGTCAAATGACGCCAAACTTGCTAAAGGTGTAATGAACGGTTCGACTTTTCAGGTTTGTACATAAGCATTTTCATGCAAAGTGGTAACTCTCAGCTGCTTAATACACTCCACACTATAGAAAATGCATTATTAAGTTCTTCGTTTGTGATTACGATCTCGAGACTACGCGTAAATCAGAGATATGAGATGTATTTGATCTAGTTCGCTTATGGCGATGAAGGACTGGTAGCTGAATTTTGCCACAAAGATGCGAATAGACCTTACAGTTCCATCGAATGTCACATATCCTTGCTCTCCAAAGGGCATTCTCATCCAGAGTGGACTGTAATTTCGCCCTCGCCCAGGTCTTATCAACACCCCCAACTGCCAGTCCTCAATCGTATATATGATTTACTCATAGTCTCAAAAAGCAACTTATAAATGAAAAATAGGTAATGTATGGAAT